GTCCTTATTAACGAGGTTCGACTGTATATCGACTAGACGCATGTACTTGAGACGTAAAAGCTTCGGCGTTATTTTATATTTTTACAGTAGCCGGTGTAAAGATATAAAATAAGGCCGACCCTTTTATGTCCTCTAGTTTGAATTCGGCGAATATCTGCTTTCCGGAATGTTCGCTGGTGGGTTTATCAACGCTTGAAGTGTTGAAGGGAGGCAAGGGATAAACTTGATGTAACAAGACATGCATCTGTATTTAACTAGCAAACTCCGAGTCATCCGCGAGGCCCACGTTATTTCCAGCTGCATAATTCCCGTCACTAAAGCTAAACTAAAGACGTTAACAACTCCAAAACAGGAAAATAGGAAAACAGGGTTCATTGTGAAAAACTGGAACTAATCGCGCGGGGGTGACTGGTTTCCGCGTTTTCTGCCAGTTTTTTTTTATTTGTGACTTGAAAGAAAGAGAACATCACGGGCACCCAACGAGAATGTAGTTCAAAACCACTAAACATAGCATTGTTAAACGTATTTTAGTATCAAACGGTAGATTTAGGCATAATTTTATCCCCTAAAAATTTTTCATCTGTTCGAATTTCCTAGCTGAAAGTCTAGTAATCCGAAAATTATAGGGATCAAAAGTTACCTTTTCGAAAATTTCAGCCAGAAAAAAGGCTCCCGAAAATTCTAGGTGACCTTTTTGGGGTAAAAATCCGTTTAAAAATGGGCAATTATACCATGTTTTTTAGATGTTTGAAAATCCTAGGAGAGGCAGGGAAGCAAGAAATTTTACAACAAATGTTCCGAAAATCCTAGATCTCAAATCCTCTTCCGAACAGATATTTTCCGAAAATTGACGTCGGGTGCCCCTGGAACGTGGAGCGAAGTGACAGATATCTCTTAAAAAAAGTACGAAAAAATCCAACGATATTTTGTATGTTAATTAGAGTACCGCTTTTCGCGAATTCTAATTTTCCATCCAACTCGTGAGGAACCAATTTCGGGTCTGAAAATGGACATTCATCCTGATTAGTCGACGTCATTTTGTGAAGAATCGCCTGAAGAATCAGGTACTTGTCTTCGTTACTTTGGTCACATGACCAAAGTTAGTGGTGTCTGTGTTTTTCACTGTAGCAACTACGATCTGACGAAGTGAAGTTTTCTCGGTACATGTTTGTAAGTATTGATCGCTTTTTGTATTAAAACTCGGATTTTTGTGCTGTGGTATCCTATTAGGGCCGTACGTAAAGGCTTGGTGTCTCTGTATTCTGTGTGCTATTGCGTCCTGGCGAAATGGAATTAGCCTCCATGTTGAAATACAGCGGTCGACTCTAATCTAGAATTCCATGTAGGTAAAGAAACCATTGATATTGTCCATGAATATACATATTTAGGATCCCGTATCTCCTCAACCGGTAATTTTAATATCTCACTCGAACTTTTGAAAGAGAAGGCTCTTCATGCTCTTTTTAGTTTAAGAAAACACACAAGCTTTGGCAAATTAAAACCTTCTCTTGCTTGCAAAATATTTGAAGCGATGATTCCCCCAATATTATCATATAATAGCGAAATTTGGGGTGTATATGTAAAACATGATTTTAAAGGTTGGGACAATACCCCAATTGAAAAAACCCACTTGAAATTTTGCAAGCGTTACCTAGAAATAAGCAATAAAGCTTCAAATGTTGCAAGAAGAAGTGAATTAGGACGGTGCCATTAATTATTAATATTTACAAAAACATCCTTTATTACATATTGTATCTTCTGTGTAAAAACGAGGATACCATTGTTAAACAAGTCTTTCGTACCTCGCTAGAACTTCACTGTAATGGTTAAAATAGCTTTTACCATAATCTTGTGAAAATATCTGAATATTATGACCTGCCCGATTTTGATCCTAATAATTTAAGTGAAGCCAAGTTAAGATCAAACAGTATATAGATATGATAAAACAAAAATATATCGAGTTACCGGGAGTCGACTGCATGTATGAACTTTTAAAGGAAAGTGAAAGCAGTGACTGTTCTTTACCTCACACGACATTGAACTAGTGCTTCACAGTGTTAAGGATTTCGTTTTTTAACTTAACAACTCCAGTGGCGTACTTTCTATCGACTTTTGAACGGTAAAAATGTCAGTAGACGTTCTGCATCCCGGAAGCTAGTAGGTACGCCGTGATTTAATATCCCTCCGAGAATTCTCGCATTGCGTTTTCTGTCGTATACAGTTCAAATAGTGGGTGTACAAATTTCATGAAAAAAAGTGTAATTTTTTAAAGGTTGAGGAAATTTTTTAAGCATTTTCATGGAACTTACAACATTATTAGACCCTTTAAAATCCCCACTTTTTTTAAAAATGGTCGGGAGGGAGCACTATACAGACGGCCATCTTGACCAAGTCTAGCTTGAAGATGACTATCTCATCTACTTTAGGCGGCGGGGGAGCTCGATTCATTGAAAGTTTAAACCATCTTTTTTTTGTTTTCTATGCTTTGTTTTCAGTAGCTGCTTAATTCGACTAAATTAAATCAGCACCCATGAGTATCTAATTGCATTTTTTTTGATAATTATATAGTTTAAGGGATTCAAAAGATTGAATGTTTCCAGGGTAGCTTTTTCAGAGAGTGCATGAAATAAAATATAAAGATACATTCAATATAGTATTCAGTATTTTTAGCATTGTTTCTGACATACCAAACCTAAATTTACCTGTCCAACTTTTGAACACAACTGGAACACCCTGGCTTTAGCAAGTTTCTGGTTCAGTTTATTATACTTGGATGAATATTTTTATTGTCATTTCCTACTACGACTGCTAAAGCAGCTGTCATGCAGTGCAGTCTGGAAGTAGTTAAAGGAGACATGGGAGTGTGGTCTAGTAGACCACATTTCACTAGTTCTGTAGAGACCTGGAGAGTGATGGGCAAGAAAGCATGCTTACTTGCATTGTCTATTAATTCAACAAACTTTACTCCACATTGTGTCCCTCTTTTCATGTGTATACCTGTAACTGGCAGTGTCTCTTACAATCCAATTATGAAAGATTACAGTGTAGTCTACTTAGAAGCCAAGGAGGCAATTTTAGTTAACTTACTGACAGAAAAGAGCTCTGAATTTGTGGGCATTATTGACTCAAAGCATGTCTTCCATTTACAATAAATTATTTTTTATGATAGCAGGTGGTTTCTGATTATTTTTCAGATCGTGACACAGGATGACACAAAGGAGAGAAGTAAAGCCGTGTTGATGCGTCAAATATAATTTTTAAAATGGCTTCATCGACATCTGGGTGAGCCTAAAATAAGTTGATCTTCATTAGCATGTACACACAAGATTGATTCAGCTAAAGTACAAACATATATATTAACAATGATGAACTTATTTACAGCTGTAACTTACAGCTGCGCTGGTAGCTTGATAAATCAAGAGTCGCTTTTATTCCAAAAAGATTTTTGTAACTGATAAATGAACTCACCTAGACTGGGTTGAAAGGTTGAAGACCCTTCAACATAGCCAAAAGTGAAAGTGAAGAATGATCATCGCAGTAAATTTTCCAATTTAAGCAACTGGAAAGAAGAAGCCTGAAAAAAATCAGGGCTTCAACGGGATTCAAACCTGTGATCTCTGCGTTACCGGTGCGTTGCTCTACCAACTGAGCTATGAAGCCACACAGTAGGAGCGAGGTCAATTTATTGAGTTCATATCTCCCGTGAGGAGTGAAATGATGTGAAGTATATGAAATAATTCATTTCTGAACTGCAGTTGTAGATGAAAGTGAAGAATGATCATCGCAGTAAATTTTCCAATTAAGTGTTGCACTTATGCTTTCTGACAAATTCAATTTATTTCATGCCACTTTTTTTCATTATTTTTGTTTCTTAACTTTTTTCTTTTCTGTTTCATTGAAATTGCATTTTATTTATTGCCAAAAGGTCAAGTGAACTCTTTGGACTTTATTTGCATGAACCTTATACCGATCAAAGGCCCTGTCGTGGCCGATCAATAAATAAGTTTGTTAAACAAAATCATTACAGAATTCTGCCATTTGATCCGCATCACCCATAAAATCGCGTGTCCCGTGACTATTTGTGCACACACAAAGGATGCCGATGCATGTAGCGTCCTTTGACTCTCTGAGTGAAGTTTTAGCTTATTGTTTGTACAATACAAAGGTAATTTAACTTATGCAAATCAATAATTCCAAGCTTTCGCACTAGTCTCCTTTTTATTTGGAAAAGCAATCGCTCGATCAACTTGTAAATTATTTTGACTTCATAAAATATTTCAAGGATTTAAGCCAGTAGAATGTATAGAATGCCAGAAAAACAAACATGAAGTTGAATGATTTCAAATTGAGCTTCCACTGTTGTTTTCATCAGTATGCAGATTACCTATAGTTTCCATCAAACTGAATTATCCTTGCTTTTTTTCCGATTTTCCGACTTGCTGCGTGTCATTTTATATTTGTTTTTGTGACAGCATAATTCTTTCATGTGAGTTTATGCTTTCAAAAGGGTAAACTTTGAGGAAGCATTTTGTTTACAGCCACAGCAATTAAAATGTTTATTTGCTTCACTTACACGTGTAGGCAAATAATATTTACCCTACATTCGGGGGATTTTGCTGCATGGAGACAAAAACATCACCTTTGATTTCTTAAATGCTTTCCTTTGTTGGTACCCTGTTTATTGTGACTTATAATCAGGATTTTTTTAGCTTTGCTTCAAACTAATCATTCTAAAGTTCTAATGCAGTGAAATTATGATAAATACCGCAACTGAATAAAGTCACGCAACACTCTCTCTCCACCAAAAAGTAGATAAGTCTGGACCTCTTCTAGGAAGACCCCCCTGTAGTTCAATTCTCATAAGGGACCACTTCCCTGCAGAAGCAACCATTAAATCTTTGCATTTTGGGTGGTCTCGTATGGAGGTTCAACAGAATTATTAAATGTACAAGCCCAGTGCTGTTGCAAAGTTTCATTTGTTCTGGTAATATTAATATTCATTAATCTTCAGGTCAAGTCACCTTGGTGTGACAGATAATCAGAAAAGATGGTTTGTCTTTGGAATAGCACTCAACAAGATCCTTGTGCCACAGGTCCGTCCTTTTGTGGAACAAGAGGTTGATAAGGAATACAACAAACTCAAGACAAGCCACAATATTCATACACAAAGTACATCTGGTCGTCTTCAAAGGTGGCCTGCAAGAAAGTTTTTAAAGTATGAGAACATCAATGGCAACAGTCGTCACCCAAAGCTTCCGGGTGGAAAATACAACATTTCCTTGTTTGATTGTAGAGTGTTATCTCACATTGACTTTGCCAAGTTGTACGTTGAAAACTTCATGGCTAAGTTCAGTGCTTTTGGTGACCACTGTGATGCTTCAGCTGTACTTACATTACTTGTTGGGGTGCCTGTGTTCTCAACAGCCATGCAAGCTGCAGCTGGTGATGTCAGGAATGTTAGGAATGACTGGGCACACTGTGTCTTCAGCAAGTGGGATCCTGTTAAGTTTCAGCAGAGTTTTGTTGAGATGGAGCACCTGGTGAGAGTCATGGCTCTACCTGCTGCAGATGAAACAAAACTCCTTGGAGAACTGAAAGATTGGGAGACTAAAGGTACTATATGTACTTCATATTATTATACAATTAATGATTGGTATAATATTAGCGTTGGTACATTTTTAACATTTGCTATCCTTACTGAGCTGAAAGGTGCTGTTAAACAGTCAGGATCAGTTATCAGTCATTTATGTATACCAAAAATATACATGGGTGTAGCTACCAGCCGTCCCCAGTAGAGACAGAAAAATAGATGGAGATCAACAGAAGCCAAATAAGAGAAAGCTAAACAAGGTGCAATTCCTTTGATTTGCAACTTAACTTTAACTTTTTGTGGATGATTCTTTTCAAAACAAGTGGAGTGCATTGTTTTCTCCAATTTGGCACATTGGCAAAAGGCCTTAAATACTGCTACTTGAATAGCATGGTCCTAAGACCAAAAGAGTTGAGTTCCTCACCATACTCATAAAACTGAAAAATGGATATTCAATCAAGTTCACTCTGCATTCTTAACTTCATTATTATCAAACGGTTCTGAGAAAACAAGAGCTTCTTTTTAGGTTTGAAGTTCCTTTCCAACTGTTTATCAAAAAGGATCGCCCCCTCATTGATTTTAACGTGAATGTTTAAAATATGGCTTTGATCCAGTAAGATTATTGATACTTCCAAGAAAGCAGACCTTGGGATATTTAATGATTGGCTCTTTAGTTAACTTTTCATAATATTTTGTTCTACTTATCTGTGTAGATACTATGTCTAATTTATAACTCTTTGTGCTTTGTTTGCAGGGACTCTGTTGTGCATGAACTCTCCTGTAGACCCAGCATTGCTTCAACTAGTCCAGCAGGAAGTAAAATTTTTACAAGACAACCTGAAAAACTTGTCTGTAGAATTTGACCAAGAAAAGGTGAGGGTACAACAAGAACTACAAAACGCTGCCATAATTCTTGAAGAAATGAAACAGACAGTGGAAAGACTGAACAATTTTCAAGGTAATCCAACCTGTTTAACCTCTCCCGCCCATTTTCATATTACTGACGTCATTATTGCAAAAATATATTGGTTTCCTGCTTCTTCTTTTCTTGTGGGAGCATTTAAAAATTGCAAACATTATGCTTCTGTTTTGTAGAGAATGCAGATCAGAAGTTTGAAAATTTAGAGACTCGTACCGGACAAGTTGAAGACCAAGTGCACAATCTTACCGGTAACTTCGAGATAACAATTATAGTTAACAATTATTCTTTGAATCGAGGTGAGTATTGGCTAAATATTTACCGAGCCACGAAGTGGCGAGGTAAATATTCCTAAAGCCACTATTCACCGAGATTTCAAAGAATAATTGTTTTAGTATATACACACGAAGTGATCTCCGCAAAATCCGGGAGGAAACCATTAAAAAGTACGATTTGATTGACAGTTCAGGTCAGCTAGACACGCGAAAGTTTAAAAATAGATCTTTGTAGAATTTTCAAACATGGCAATTCACAAGCTTATCACTTCGCAAACAACAACGTAATGACTTAAATGGAACCGCTAAAAGTTTGAATTGTTTCCTTACCTGAGAAGAAAAGAAGAGCTTTGTTGTTTTCTGTTGACTCGCCAAGTTTATAACCGAAAAGGTTTGTTGTGTCGTTCTTCGCATGAAGCGCTGACAAAAATGGCGAATTGGTTCCTCGAGGTAAGACGCCGTTTAACTTTTCATGTAGCATTCTTTGTCTTATTTACCTGAAACGTAGAATTTCTGCAAACATTTGCTTTCAAATTTGTTTGTCATAAATAAACTTCGTTTTGGGCCAATTTTTTCTTGTTAGGAAACGCTGAGTTCACGAAACGGCCTCTTCTAAGCGAATAAACGGTAGTTTTAAACAATCCATCGACCACAAAACTCAACTACAGTAAATGGAAAAATGCCGTTTTCAATCCGTCGAAGTCTTTTCTTGCCTAAAAAAGAGTCAACCCTAGGATTTTGTCGACTTCTAAAAGATCTTTCTCTAAAAAAAATGGGAAAAACACCGAGCTCACACGTTATCCACTCGCTAGGAGGTGAATATTGTTGATATAATTAACGATTATTCCACGAGGGCGCGTTGGATATGAGATGATAGATAGCCAACGAGGCGCATAGCGCCGAGTTGGCTATAATCATTTCATATCCAACAAGCCCGAGTGGAATAATTGTTTTATTAAAAACGCCCACAAAATCTCGTTGAATCGCCCCGACTAGAACAAACCGGAAAAGACAAGGGACTTCCGCTATTGACATGTCACACGTCTATCAAAACTGTCAACGCGCGAACCGGGCTCGCCTAGACTGCATGAATGAAAAATCAAAACATTGTGCGATGAACATTAGTTTTTTAAAAACTCATCGTGATTCTAGGATTTTACACAGCAGAACAGCTTAAAAAACCTGGCAGATAATGTGAAGGAAAGGAATTTTTAAGTGACAGCCGTCGAAATTACTATGAATTTGGATTTTCGGTGCAGTTATAAAAGTAAAACCAACGGAGAAAAACTACCGGTATTACCTCTGTCGCTTGTTATGAAGTTGTTTGAAGCCACAAGCTGGTTTTGCTGAACGAGAAAAGAAGCTATACTGCCGCCTCGATTGCTCTAGTGAATGGCAGCATAGCCTGTATTTGTAGCTGGTTACTTGTGATTTATATTCTTGATGTCGGATAAACAAGCTGCAGTTATCTATCGGCGAGTGACTCGATCGGCGAATGGCTTCGCGATCATGAAGAAACAACACTTGTCTTCTTTCGTAGCTGGTCAAGGTACTTTAGTTCCATGTGTTTTCCGACAAACTTTCAAACAAGCTCTTGTGGCTTTTTTGTTTGTTTTTGTCTTTTTTCTTTCGTTGAAATTGCATTTCTAGTATTCTAAGAAATGAATTAAAACGATTTGCTTCGAGCGCCGTTCTATCCTTCGCGAAAAAAAAATCTCAGCTAGCTTCCAATTATAAACTGACGCGTACACCGACCATATATGGAGAACATGGTATATTAGCTCATATACCATAACGGCTAAGCCAATCAAAATGCTAGAATTGCATTATCCAATGATTCAGTTTTTAATAAATAGTCCTAGATAGCGAACCAATCAGATTGCTTAAATCACCAAGATCACTGACCGTGTATATACTAACTACGTTTAGTCTCATTTACGGAAAGAAGACAGCAGATCAGCGGTTTAAACTTTAATAAGTTGAAGACCTTAGAAAGGTCAGTTAAGCAGGTTAAGTCGGGCGTCACATAGACCCCTCTAACTGGCGCTGCCTCTGTTAAGTCCATGCACCCAGTCTGTTAAGTCCAGTAGTCGCGGAATGAAATACCGTGGATGAGATCGGAGGACAACACATGCACATGTCCTCTTTACATTATATGTTAACATACCAAGAGTAATCGTGGACGTCATCATACAAGGGTACCACTGGCAGTTGCTATCAGCTATAAGCTAACTGTAACCCGCCCAGCCATGGTATGAATGATGTGTGCAAGGCAGTCTACACCACCATGGAAATGTTCCCCACTCTTTTCAAACAGTAGTGTTTGATCTTTTTAAGGCCCCTTCGATTGAAAGAAGCATAAAGGATAACGGATGCAAGGCCAACCGCTTAACGTCACCGCCTAAAGACGCGATCATCTTAAATGAGAATCACAGCCTTCATGATCTTAACAGCTTTTTTTAAGACCCTGGTTGTTCGTCAGGCCCAGGCTTGAACCCCCATCCTCTCGCTCGGTAGACTGGCGCTCTCACAACTGAACTGCAAGGATCACATTCACTTTCATATCACCATCCTCAGCTTACATACCTGTAATATACATGAATGATTAATTTCATTCATTATAAGTCAAAAGAACACGATTGAGGATATCGTTTTACACGGGAAAAAAATTCCTTTTTAATCCAAGTTGCTCCCTCCTCCTGTCTTACTCAATTGCAGCAAAGTTTCATGACCTGACGGCTAAAGAATCTGCTTTGACAAACGCTTGTCTTCAAGACCAACTGATGACATGTGACGGTAGGTTTGTCATTGATAATAAATATAGCGGCATGATTTACAGTGCAATTTTTTATTTGTGACAAGAAATTATCGAGAGAAAAATCAAATTACCTTCCATATAGTTGTCAAAGGAAGTTATTAAAGGAGGATCCCCAATACATTTTCTCTCTACATTTTTGTATAATCAGTCACCGTACTTTCCTGTGGTAGACAGTTTTAACAGATTAACAACGCTTTGACAGAGAGTTTGATAAAAAGTAGTGGTACGAATGGTTTGCTGTCTTGTAGCAACTAAGACACTTGAAATGAAAACGCTAACTCAATAACGAGAAGTCCAACACCCGTGAACTTTCGTCGACTGTTAAAATACAGTAAAATTCCGAAAATAAGCCCCTCCATGTATAAGCCCCTCTAAATATAAGCCTCCTAAACCGGTAACGCAAAAAACCCTCCGTTAACTCGCCCCTCCAAATATAAGCCCCCCCCCCCAGGGGCTTGTCTTGGAAAATTGCCCTCAAATACAAAGGAAAACTAGGCAGAAACTGTAAATTTACTTCCAACTATAAGGCTAGCACAATCGACTTTGAAACGCAAGTTTCCCTTTGTGGATAAGCCCCTCCGAATATATGCCCCTCAAAAAGGGCCTTTGAAAAATATAAGCCTCGGGGCTTATTTTCGAAATTTTACTGTATGCTCCTTTTTATCCATTGTTCAAATGTATATTATTTTAAACACGGAGGAAATTATATGCCTCATTTTTGTTTTCCTCAATAGTCAATCCAGGTAAACTTGTTGAACTTATCAGACGAGACTACAAAGGCGCGGTCTTGTGTCCCTTTCCATGGTGTGAAGATGAACTACAGCTGAAGCTATCGAACATCTTCACAAGATTGCAGATAGTTAGTAGAACAAAAGAACGTTCAAAACTTACGCATTCCACCGTCAATATGACAGAAATATTCAAGTCGCATCCAGAATGCCACAATCCAAGAGTGGTGCTGATCGAGAGTAATCCTGGGATGGGCAAAACTACGTATTGTCAAAAGCTGGCATATGATTGGTCCGTGGGCGAAATTCCACCTGATGCGTCGTTTCCTGAAGCGAATATATTGCTGCTGTTGAAATGCCGTGACATGCACATGAAAACCGCTAACATCGAGGAAGCTATTGATGATCAACTTCTGCCCCATGATGCAAACAAGAGGGAAAAGCAAGACTTGTTCCACTTTATTCGCTGTAATCAGTCCAGAATCTTGCTGGTTCTTGATGGTTTAGACGAACTGCGTGAAGACCTTCTGGAGGGTTTTCTGCCTTTGATTCAAGGAAAAGTCTTTGCGAATGTGTACCTCATGTTAACAGCTCGACATGAAGCAGGGATGAGAGTAAGGCGTTATTGTGACACCCTTCTTGAACTTGTTGGTTACACAAAACATGACGTCGAAAGTTACGTTAAAAAGTATTTCGTCAGTCATGAGGATCAAAGCCTTGCTGACAAAATGATAAACCAGTTAATACGCGACAAACAACTCGCAGAATTAACAGCAAACCCCCTTAATACAGCTTTGTTGTGTCTTCTCTGTGAAGAAACAAGAGGAGTCTTTCCTTCGAAAAGAACCATGATGTACGATGACCTTGTGTCGTGCGCTCTCAGAAGGTATTTTGCAAAAGGAGGTATTTCTTTGGGTGACCAAGATCCGATGGAGCGATGTGCGAGTGAGCTGAATCAGTTGGGAAAGATGGCATTTGAGGCTCTGCTTAAGAATCAGTTATATTTCACTCAAGATGAGGTGAAATCCCAGTCCCCCGCTTTAAATTTCCTACGGTTGCCGTTTCTTTCCCGTGAGCCAAGTGTGAGCAAAGTCAGACCTACACCGACCTACGCGTTTACTCACAAAACATTTCAAGAATACTTTGCGGCGTTTTTCTTGGCCCATCAGTTGTTGTCTGGTGACAAAGGGAAAGAGAGATTGTTGGATGAACTCAGTCCTATTGATAATTGGCAGGTGTGGGAATTTCTCATCACAATAGTGTTAAGCAAGAGTGTTAAAGCGGCAGTAACTGTTGTCTCTCGCCTTTGTGCTTTCTTTTGTCACAAGAGGCCTTTAAGTTTAATGGACGTGAATCGTGACGATGTTGATTTGGATCGACGCGACATCTTCAAGGACAGTCCGTATGACTGGGCTAAGTATTTGAGAAAAATGAACAAGGATGAAAGAACGCTATGCAACGTCCTCAAAAAAACCCTTGATCTTATTGCTGAGTGGGAAGATGGTGATGATGAATTGAAGGATTACCAAAAGGAAGTTGTGCGTGTGCTTGCCCGCTGCTTTCCAATTAAAAAATTGGATCTTACACTAAGTGCTAGCACATTTTGCTCCGTGTACTCTGAGTATCTAAGACTGAATTACAGTTTGATAGATTTGACTTTGTATAGTGCGTTTGACCTGATCCTGTTAAAAACAATTGAACATGTTTTTCATTCTAAGCAAAATTTGGTGCATTTTACGTTTCTAAACTCGACATGGGGTTTTGATGCTTTTATTGGTGTATTATTTGCTTCGCCTGAACGAGAAGAGGCTTTCTCAAATCTGGGTAAACGTCTTCAGTGGAACCAGTTGGTCGGTACCAAAGAACTGCTCTCAGAGGTCCTTCAGTCAGGTCGTGTTTTAACACATCTGAATCTAGACAGAGTCTGGATCTGCGATGGAGGAGCTCAAGTACTCGCGGATTTCCTTCAAATAAATCAAGCTTTGACACATCTTAATCTACGTCACGCCATGATCTATGACATTGGAGCCATTTTACTCAGTGACGCTCTTCAGTCGAACAGCAAATTGACACATTCGAGTCTTCCAGAAAATTGGATCAGTGTTACTTGAGCCTTTGCTCTAGGGGCAACACTGAAGTTCAATTCTGTGCTAACATATTTAGATCTGAGTCAAAATCTTGGCGGCGATTCATTTGCCATGGCGCTGTCGAAAGCTTTGGAATCTAACTGTGCCTTAAAGTACTTGAATCTGTGTCAATGGTTTGACTGCATTGAAAAAAATACACCTTTTCCGGAATCTGCTAACGTGCACGTTGAAATGATTGGACCTGAAGGAGGATCAGCCCTTGCAAAAGCTCTTCGATTCAACTGTACATTGACGTATTTAGATCTTCAGTATAATAACATCGGCGACTCTGGAGCAGCAGCACTTGGCGAAGCTCTTCGAACAAACACAACTTTGAAGGAATTATACCTCAAAGACAACAAGATAGGGGAAATAGGATCAGAAGCCCTCGGAAAGGGGCTACAGTCAAATCGTACTTTGACCCATTTGAATCTAGATTTTAACCACGATATCGGTGATTCAGGCGCATCAGCCATCGCAAAGGCACTACAGTCGAGGGGCAGTAAATTAACCTGGTTAGATCTAAGTTTTAACAAAATCAGCTCCTCGGGTGCCACCTCCATCTCAGAAGCTCTTTGCGTTAACAGTTCTCTTACACATTTAGGATTGGGGAGTAATAAGATCAACTCTTCTGGCGCCTCCACAATTGCTAACTCACTGCAATCAAATCGTACGTTAATTCATCTGAATCTTGGTGATAACGAAATTGGCGATTCAGGGGCCAAAGAATTTGCTCACTCTCTTACGAATCACAACAACACGTTGGGCTTTTTAAACCTTGATGAGAACAATTCAATAAGTTCAATAGGAATAGAAAGCCTTGAAGAGGTTGATCAGTCGAAATGTATCGTGAAGTATCGTAAACGCCGGCGGTAGATTATCCGGGTCATTAGACTTATTTTGGTTTTTTAATGGCAAGATGTAAAATCTTGGTGATTCAGGGACCAGATAATTAGCAGACATACACTATTCAGAATCATTAGAATCACTATTAAGACCTAAATGAGGACCGTTCCACTAATATGGGTCCAGTAGGGATTGCAAGATTTAAACAGGTTAATCAGTGAATTCGTATCTTGAAGTACGATGTACCGTGGTTTCCCACCGAAGTTATTTTTTTTCCTCGAGAAACAAGTTTATTTTTCTTTATTGTAAGACGTAAAACCCTCTTTCGCCAATGTGTGTGTAACTATTTAATACTTGCTAGTCTGCTTTTTCTTTTCCTTTTTCCTCGCGCTATAGCTTATTTCTCGGTAATCCGGCCTCATTGAAAGCCTAGAACAGGCTAAGAACTGGCAAGAATAAAGAAGACTTTGAGAACTTTAAATGAGTTGCATCGTTTGTCATTCCAAATCCGTTTTATCGAATTACAGGGCAAAGCTCGGTTCGCGCCTGTGTACATACACCCTCCCCTCAGAAAAAATCGGAGAAGGGGCCCCGGAGCGAGTAACCCTCTTGGTCATTGATCTGGGCCCATTAAACGTTGTGAACACAAACAGTTCAAAAACATGGCATTTACAGGATCTAACTCGTACTAAGGTGCCTCTCTAAGTCCGTTGAGAACAATCTGGACGAGCAAACGGTCGTGTTTATCTTTGCCGTGAATCCAGATAAATACAAGAAGGAATCTAGCCGAATTTTATAATGTTTCCTTCGCCAGGAGTTTAGTTTGGTCACGAAACTCATGTCCTGATGCTCCTGTAATCGTTTACCAAAAACGGCCGCCACCAACTCGATAGCCGCTTCATCTGATTATATGTCCACATACTTTGAGCACAAGAAAAATCCAAGAGCCAGCAACCTCTAAAATATCTCAGTAGAAAGGGTCTGTGAACTATAGGGAAGATTCCATCACTCATTGTGGAGTAGCCGTCATTAACTCTGCCATTACAACGGCCGCTGATAAGAGGACACAGTAAATCCACGTAAAAACATTCCACAGGCAAACAATTTCAAAATAACGTCAAAAAATTATTCTGTAATCACCATAGAACGATTCTTAATACAAAACTTCGCTAACTATCGAACGATGGCTGAGATTTAGACAGATAAAAACAGCCTTCCAAAATCTCCGACAGAACTTGAAAAAGACAGGCCAACTTTTTCAAGTTTGCTTTCATTGGCTCGCGCATGCGTGTGGGGTGACATAGCCCCTTTAATGGCCGTATTTATACTAGCTACAGGACTGCCAAAACGTCCAGTGAGGTTTAAAGTCTGGATGTAAACGTGTACATGTACTAGACGGGTATTCACAGTTTAGTGTAAACGTCTGAAAGATCTAAGATGTTTCTCATCCATCGATCGTCAAACTCCGCTTTACGGAGACTCGCTAAATATAGACACCTCATTATTACGGAGAGTTTGCTTTGTTCCTTGGGAAAGAAAGCCCTTACATTTTCTCTAAATTTAACCCGTTTTATATGGACACCTAGCTCGTTAATAGGGACACTTTTTACAGCTCCTTCAGTGTCCTTATTAAAGAGGTTCGACTGTATATCGACTAGACGAATGTACTTGAGACGTAAAAGCGTCGGCTTTATTTTATATTTTTACACTAGTCCGGTGTAAAGATATAAAATAAGGCCAACCCTTTTATGTCCTCTAGTTTAAATTCGGCGAATATCTGCTTTCCGGAAAGTTCGCTGGCGGGCTGATCAGTACTTGAAATGTTGAAGAGAGGCAAGGGATAAACTTGATGTAACAAGACAGGCATCTGTATTAAACTCGCAAACTCCGAGTCATCCGCAAGGCCCACATTATTTCCAGCTACATAATTCCATTCACTAAAGCTTAACATAAGACGTTAACGACTTCAAAACAACAATAGCCCCATTTGCACGATGACATCGTTTTACTACTACGACCAGAATTCTTCACTGTTTTGCTTTCTTGTGCAAATTAGGGCCCTTATTATTTAAACCTCGCAAGGATTTCCAAATTTAAATATGAAAAAAAAAAAAACGAAAAGTATTCTGGTCGTAGTTGTGAGATGACGCCATCGTGCAAATGGCCTATTGGTTTTTTTTTAAAATAGGAAAACAGTGTTCATTGTAAAAAAAAAAACTGTAACTAATCGCGCGTGGGTGCCTGGTTTCCGCGTTTTCTGCCAACTTTTATTTTTTATCTGTGACGTGAAAGAAAGAGAACATGGAGCGAAGTGACAGATACCTTTTAAAAAAGTAGGAAAAATCCACCGATGATATGTGTGTTACTTAGAGTACCGCTTTTCGCGAATTCTAGTTTTCCATTCAACTCGTGAGGACAGTGAGGAGCCAACTTCGGGTCTGAAAATGGACATTCAGGCGAGTCTCGTTCAAACTTTCATTCAGATCAGTCGGCGTCATTTTGTGAAGAATCAGGTTACTTGTCTTCGTCCCTATGCCAGTTTGTACGCAACTGAGCGAACGGTCATCTTCTCTCCCGCGCCGTTGAACGAGAGCAAAAAGAAACAGTTGCCACTCACACCTATTCAGGCCATCTTCTCGTACCAAAGGGGTAGGGGAATGAGAATTTTCAGCCGTATATCTCAAAAGTTGCGATTCCAACAGCCGCCGAAAGTGAGAAGCATTTGTGTGAGAAAAATAACTTTTGCCATCCAGTCACGCTTGCATGGTTTTCCATACAAATCCTTGTAAATTCTAAAATTTTTAAACTGTTGTTATATCTTTCCCTCACGAATTTAAGAGCTCAAATTACCTGTTATGAATTAAAAGGAGATTTGAGCCCTGTAATGCTTAAGTAAATACTTCATGACGGTTTTGAAAATGTCGAAATTACAAGGATTTGTACGGAAAACTACTGGATGGCAAAAGTTGTTTTTCTCAAACAAATGCTTCCAAAATTTGGCGGCCGTTGCAATCGTTGCTTTTGAGATATACAGCTGAAAATATTCAGGTTACCTAATTTTCGTATGCTCTTTCAGCTTTTGCTGGCAAAATGTTTCAAAAGTGAACTGTCTTCGTGTTTACTGAAAGTTGATCACGTGATCAAGTCATGCAAAAAGCCTATTAATTTGTTTCTCTTTATTTTTATTTTCCTCGAAATTCGATTTCATTGATGCTTTCAAACTATGATCCAGTACGTCGCTCTCAGTGATCTAGAGTACTAGAGCGTTTTCTTCTGCGTTCTCTGGCCAAAAGAATCTCTCAAACGTGGTTAGCCTGCGTAACAAGCGTTTCCTCGCGAGGTTTCGTCTAGAAAGCTGGGAGAAGAGCAAAAAAAACATGAATGCTTTCGCTCTAACTTTCGGAAAATGTTATTTCTGACGAATGAGCCCGCGAAGAAGGCAGAAATAAATATTTTGACGGCACGAGATACAACAGGGCCTGGGTACTAGGCCGGGTGCACCATGGGTAGCCATATCGGGGGTATATAAGGCTGCGTATATCACGTGTTCGTCATCTAGGCTTACGAACCAACCTCACCTTGGTTTTTCTTAACGTTCTTATCGGCTCTTTCTTGCGTTATATCCGTCAGCAAAGACGAAGTGTCGGATCTCATTGAGGAGAATAACAAACAGTTAATGGACTCGTTTAAAGTTTTGTTAACAGAAACCGTTGGTCAAATCAAGCGCGCTAATGAATATTTGGCCGAGCAGCAGATGAAGGAAATTAAGAAACTAAAGTATAACGAACCACGTAAGTTCAAGAAGAAGGCCAACGAAAACCAGTTTTAAAGGATCCACAGTGCAGAATTTTGCGGCCGTGTAGCGTACTAGGCCCGTAAGAAGAAGAAGACCACTCAAAAACAGATCCTCGCCAGTGGGAACGCCGGCGTCCACCTCAACTTCACATATGCAACCCCAGCCTCATTTCAAACGTTCCTGTTTTAATTTTCGCCTTCTCGACGACCCAGTGTCGGGACCTGTTTTGCCCGTGGAAAGCGTTCCTGTTACCCGACGATGGACGAGCCAAACATCCCAAACTCCCAAATGGCTAGATGAAGGACAACAATCAGGTGCAGTCTATTCTAATTTAGTACTGAATTTTTTAGGCGGCAAGCCGTAATATGGATCAGGATTGTCTCGATATTACACCAGTTTCTTCTGACGTTCACCCCGCTAGTTTTAGGCGCGGTTTAGAGCTCTGAGTGTACCGTTGATATTTCTATTCTGCCTTCAGTTTGGGGAAGATTTTTCACAGTTATCTATTTCTGGCATACTTTGCTAGTTTCTCTGTTCATTTTGAATGTTTTTAGTCTTAGTTACAAATTCCCTTCTTCCAGCTTTTTATGTTTTTTTACAAATCCTACAATGCCTCTCCACGTGTTTACAGTTCTTTTTGTCCGTAGCTGTTAATGAGCTTCCCAGCCTCAACCTCCTTTTAAAGGTTTTTGCATTCCAATATCATTTACCCGCTTTCTGTTTGACGCGCCGCTCCGGCTAACAAAGGTTAATCCTGGATTTTAGGCACGTTTGCACTTTTTTCTTCAAACAGAAATTCAAATGCGAAGACTTGTCCATGGCCACTTATATTTTTGATATGGGTTTTTATTTATTCATATTTTACCTCTAGTGCGGTTATCGTAATTTTCCCTGATCACCAGTATTTCCTTGCGTTCACCTGGGATCTCGGCACCCTGGGTTTTTAGGTATTTTCTACTTTGCGCGCTTCCCTTTGGGTTCTTGTCAGCCTCCCTCAAACCGCTTCAGAAATCTAGAAGAAGCCAAGGTATCCCTATTGCCATTTTTCTTGACTATGGTCTAGCTATAGGAGGAGGAGCCTATCGCGTTCAGGCCTTAATTTACAGTTTGCGGGCTGTCCATGCCGATTTGCTTTAGTCTCGCTTTGTTCGAATTCCTATGAGGAAAAGTCCCTGTGGGAGCCCGTTCGAATTTTCTAGTGGCTTCGCGTTCATCTCAACATAACACTCTGGATGGAAGTATTAGAGCCACGGATGAACACATTGCTAGATTGTCTCGCGACCTGGCGGCTTTGTCTTCATATTAGTCGTCCACCACAGTCCACTTTCTACGCGTCCCGTGTGTAGCCGCCCATAGTATTTCCCTCTCGAGTAGCGTGGGATCCGTCGCGTGCATTATGGCCCGATTTCTTTTCTCAGTTGTTTACTCAGCTGTTTCCTGGGATAGCTAGGTTTTCCTGTCCGTTGATTCTTTGTATGAAATTTAATTTTGGTCGAATTATGTTAGCCCCTCTACGGCAAAATTTATCGAGGGGTTCCAGTTCGCTTCCAGTGAGAGTAAGCTCCGGCTTCTCCGGTGCTTCCGATTCAGCCTGCGGCGTTTAAGTGGAGTCTGAACCTGAGTTGATTTTTTATCGAAATTGGTCGGAAAGTGTTCGTAGATCGACTTGAAGAGAGCTCAAAGCGGTTTGTCTTGCCTTACTAGCCTTCGCGAGCCCTTCATCTAATTCCAAGGTTTTTTGGTATTCTGACAACCAGAACGTCGAATCCATTCTCCGCGACGGCAGCAGGAAATGCGATCTCAAAGAATTTAGCCCTAGTTGCTTTTCAAATTTGCTCCCATCATTGTATTTCGTTCGAGGTCAAGTGGATCCCTAGGGACCTGAACGCTAGTGCGGTCTGTATCTGCAAGCTCGTTGACTTCGATGGTTACGGCCTCAACGATTTTGTTTTGCTAGGGCTAAATCACCTCTTAGGTCCTTACATTATTGACAGGTTCGCCTGTAGTTACAACGGCGAGTTGCCTTGGCTTAACTCTCTATTTTTTCAGCCAGGCTGTTAGGCTGTTTATGCCTTCGCTCAAAATTGGGGATAGGACAACAACTGGCTTGGCCCACCTGTTTGCCTCATTGTCAGAGTCATGTATATCAGACACATTGGGCTCTGCGCGCTCACGGGAGCCCTTATTCCTCACGTATGGAAGTCAGCTATTTTCTGAAATGTTTCTACTAGAGATGGAGTGCATTGGAATAGTTTTGTTGTGGACTGGGTGTTATTGCTTAAGTTCCAGGGATTATTTGTTCCAGGGAAGGTCCGTAATTCCCTTTTCAGAACCAGGCCTTTACTTTTTGGCGTCATAGCGCTTCGAGTTTATTTTCGGCGCCCCACACCTCCCTCGTCCCTGGCGGGCTTCTGCTCTACGCCGCCTGACGGAAAGTGTTGCCTGTGCCTATACACGCGTGTTATGCGTACCTTTAGGTTTGAACCCATTAGGTTTTTGCATGGAGCCTTTTGACCCCCCTCTTCCCTTTTCCGGTGTTTTTTCTTTTTTATTGCGTGATCCTCACATTTTCTTTTGTATTTTCGATTACTTTTCAGATATATTCCGCTCTGGTTTCTAGCGCGGGCCCCAGAATTTCCCACCAGAGGGTTGCCTGAGGCTGACAGACAGTCTACAATGCAATCGACGGTTCTCTCCTCAAAGGCAGTTAGTACGACAGTGGTGTACCTTCGTGATTCTCGCAAGTAAAACTGTTTTGCTGCCAGTAAGCTTCATTCCTGGGCCTGTCCTGCCAGTCCCTGCCATGTTGCCTTGTATTTGCAACACCTCATTGAAGAGTCGCACTCCCCGTGCGTCGTAGACTCGGATGTTTATGGTATTAAATGGGTTCATACCATGGCGGGTATCCCCTCTCCCAGGGATAACTCGATTATTGAAGGGGCTAGGTGTGTTTTCAAAACGATTTTAGGTTTGATGAGGTCTCCATAATTAGGGGGTATTATATTTTCTTTCATGAGGGTTTCATGATCATTAAGGTTCTCAAAAGCAAGAACGACCAACTTTGTAAGGACGATGACTCGAAGTGATTTTTTCGGAAATGTTTGGCCCTGCTTGTCCTGTCAAGCGTCTAAAGAGGTACCTTGCTCTTTTTTCCATCCCCTTTAGCTCCGGGGATCTCATTTTTGCCCCATGTTTCGCGGGAACAACTCTTTTTAGTTAGTTTCCCAGAACGAGCCTATCAGCTATACCACAATTAGAGAGGCTTTTCGCAAGGACCTGAGAATTGTCGGGGTTGACTCTTCCACTTTTGGTTTATATTCCTTGCGTTCGTGAGGGGCCACCTTCGCTGCTTATAATGGGGTTTGTGACAGTGTGTTTCAGTGGCTCGGCCGCTGAAAGTCCGGTCTAGCCAAGGACGCCTACCGATGATGACCTAGAAAAAAGGCTTTCAGTTTCCAAGTTTCTTGGGCTCTAGGAGCTTTCATTTGTCATTTCGCCCAATACTTTGTCACTCTACGTACTTTGTAGGGTTGGTTCTCGCCAAGCCGTCCCAAAATAAACTTATTTGCCATTACGTTTTGTCTGTTGATGTTGTGTAGTGGAGTCAAAATATGTTATTTCTGACGAATGAGCCCGCGAAGAAGGCAGAAATAAATATTTTGACGGCACGAGATACAACAGGGCCTGGGTACTAGGCCGGGTGCACCATGGGTAGCCATATCGGGGGTATATAAGGCTGCGTATATCACATGTTCGTCATCTAGGCTTACGAACCAACCTCTCCTTGGTTTTTCTTAAATTTTTGTTTTATTTATTTTTAGGAGCAACATATTCTCGATTACATTGTAAAGTCCCGTAGGAAGGGCTTTGAGCTTGAGCCTTGGTTCCTACCCAGATTTCCTGCCCGCATTTTTTCCCTTCGGGGTTTTTTTTTTTTTTTTGGTTTTTTTCTGGCCTCCGTCTGACCGCATTTACTTCAGTTTGTAAGCGGTAGTTCAGCTCTGCTAGTTTTCAGCCTTTTTCCCGTTTCTTATTTTATGTACTTGTACACTAGTTATCTCAGTTTTGCACCTGCTCCTTTACTTGATATATTTAGTTTCCATGTATGCTTAGGTCAGCTGTCCCGGAACCGCTCTTTAGGAGGCGACGTAAGTCTCGTTTGACGCAGTTAGGTTGCAGGCAATGTTACAGACCTCTAGCCAGGGTCGTTATTCATTGTTTACCCTCAATGTCCCGCCCTAGCCTTTTATGGCAGTCTTACTGGTTATTGGGCTACGTGCCTTGTTGGGTACATTAGTGGAGATAATTCCCAGTTTTCCTGGCACTCAGCCTCTGTGCTCCTGAAGTGTTCCCGGTCCCAGTTATACGTTGATCACAGTTTTATTAAATTTCCCCGGCCTAACTGGCACTAAGCCTGCGTGCTTATTTGGGGGATTCAGGTCGAGATCGACCAGTTGTAGCAGTTTTTTCTTTTTGCTTAGCCTCTGTGCTCCTACCGTGTTCCTCGTGCCAGTTATGCGTTGTCTGAGTTTTATTAATTAGTTTCTCCAGCCTAACTGGCACTAAGCCTGTGTGCTTATTTGGGGGATTCAGGTCGAGATCGACCAGTTGTAGCAGTTTTTTCTTTTTGCTTAGCCTCTGTGCTCCTACCGTGTTCCTCGTGCCAGTTATGCGTTGTCTGAGTTTTGTTAATTAGTTTCTCCAGCCTAACTGGCAGCCTAACTGGCACTAAGCCTGTGTGCTTATTTGGGGATTCAGGTCGAGATCGACCAGTTGTAGCAGTTTTTTTTTTTTTGCTTAGCCTCTGTGCTCCTACCGTGTTCCTCGTGCCAGTTATGCGTTGTCTGAGTTTTGTTAATTAGTTTCTCCAGCCTAACTGGCAGCCTAACTGGCACTAAGCCTGTGTGCTTATTTGGGGATTCAGGTCGAGATCGACCAGTTGTAGCAGTTTTTTCTTTTTTGCTTAGCCTCTGTGCTCCTACCGTGTTCCTCGTGCCAGTTATGCGTTGTCTGAGTTTTATTAATTAGTTTCCCCAGCCTAGCTGGCAGCCTAACTGGCACTAAGCCTGTGTGCTTATTTGGGGATTCAGGTCGAGATCGACCAGTTGTGAGGAGTTTTTTCTTTTGTTTAGCCTCTGTGCTACTACCGTGTTCCGTGTGCCAGTTATGCGTTGTCTGAGTTTTATTAATTAGTTTCCCCAGAATGACTGGCAGCCTACCTGGCACTAAGCCTGCCTGCTTAAATGGGAGATTCAGGTCAAGAGCGACCATTTGTCGCACGAGTTTTATCTTTTTGTGAAAGCTAGTTTACAAGTGTTGTACATTAGGTATTCACCAGTATTCACCTATTATTGTATTTACATAAATACTTTGTAGGGTTGGTTCTCGCCAAGCCGACCCAAAATAAACTTATTTGCCATTACGTTTTGTCTGTTGATGTTGTGTAGTGGAGTCAAAATTGCTTGCTACGCAGGCTAAAACGTGGTTAAACTTGAAGTGCAACCTAGCGTGACTTCTGCATGTGCGTGACCTGGGACTAGAAAGCAGTTGTCACATGACCAGCATTCCTGACTGTTTTCTGCAAGAAGAAGGAGTCGTCTTGTCGGTTCTTCCATCGATTTGAATTCAGGAAAATTTTGCTGCCCTAACTAAGTTTTTTAGTTTGTAAGTATTGGTTGATTTTTAATTGCTCAAGGCTTATGAAATCTTTGGGAACCGTATACAAGTAATCGTATGACACTTCTTGTGTTACATGTATTTTATTACGCCGCCGTGCAATGAAAGGAGAATGTGCTCGCTGTCTGTTCCTTAAACCACCTAGAATTGTGTGGAATATGATCTATGATGTGCAAAATTTAATTTTATAAGTTGACAACTCAGACTTTTTCTCTCAGACTTCGAAATGTGAAGTTGCTGTATATCGCCTTACACTTAACTATTTAAACTCGACCCGGAAGTGAAGGTTATAAAGGTTCCAATTTGCTTCCCGAGCTTTCCCCAGCACAGTCTGTGTAGTTTCCCTTACATAATACTGTAAAGAAGGCGATCACAGTCACACTGAAATCAGTGCAGCTTGTTGAGGGGGTGAAAAGATGTGCTCTGGGCAGTATGGATATAATTTCTGGAACAACACTTTGCCACAAACTATTACCTGCAGTTCTTCAATGAACTCTCTGATTTCCAAACCCCAGTCTGCTCAAAGCAATACCTTCTCATACAGCCCATATAAAGTATTACCATATTCCCTTCCCTTCCGCAGGCAGATATTACAACTGTATGTTCATATTTATATCTTGCTGTCTCTACTCACTGGTACATTACATCTGTAGTTGTCCAAAGTTTCACAGCAGATTTAGCAACATGAAACTGTATGTGTTTCTTTGATTTTTAAGTTTGCCCTTTTCTTTCCTGCTTACCCAAAGCTGGTTTGAATTATTTTGAAATGTTGTTATTTATCTGATTATTTATTACTCAGGTATTGTCAAACAGGATGACCTGATTTGCATGGAAAAGGAAATTTTGGCATGGCTTTGTCCTCATCTGGGTGAGTATAATATGACATGTCACACATTAATATACAGTTATACCTGCTAACTCTCATGCATTATGCATGTGTCTCACACCTGTGGACTAAAGACATTGATCTCTACAGTGGCCCAAAAGTGTCATGACAATTTCAATTTACTCATGGCAATTTCAAATTGTTCACGGCAATTTCAATTTACTTCAGCAGCCCACAGTGACCACCAAAAGTCAAAATGCAAAATTAAAAGTTGATATTTAAAGTCAATCTTCAAAGTGAAAAGTGAAAATCAAAAATCAATAGTTGCTTTACGAACTAGGGGGTATTTACATGAGACTGGGACAAACTCAGACCGGTTTGAGTTTGTATCAGGCTCCATACATTTCTTTTTATGCATTTAGATTGGGCTGCCCTAAAAATGAACTCAGACCGGTCTGACTTCATCTCTTTCACTGACCCGACAAGAGTTATTTTCGTACCGGTCCGAGAATGTACCGTTCTCATGTAAAACGGAAACGAATCTCATCCATAAATAGCATGTTTCTTCATATATATGGCTCCATCATTTTTGCTCTTTTTTAGCAAAATATAAAGAACACTGCTATGAATAACTGTAAACAAGACTTGGAAGTAGCTTCAATTGAATATATGCTTCGGTTAATGTGAGGGATTTCACCATTTTTAGAAGCTGACTGTGCATTTAACATGCCACCAGATGAGTGTTTACAATTTTCTGGGAGCAGTAATATCTACGATCTTAATTAGCGTAAATTGTGTACCAGTTAGGACAGTTAGTGAATAATATGTTAAATAATCGACTTAAGAAAGTTATATAGCTACAAGAATCTCCTGTTTTTGAGTTTGTACCGGTCTCGTGTAATCAACGAAGTGTTTCGTCCCGGTCTCATGTAAACGACTGCAAAAATTACAAATTCGTGGCGGCCTGAGTTCGTCCCAGTCTCATGCTGGTCTGAGACCATACCATTCTCATGTAAAACAAAAAATGAACCTCAGACTGGGTCCATAAATAGCATGTTCCTTCGTATGGCTCCACCATTTTTGCTCTTTCTTGGCAAAAATAGGAAGACTGCTACCAATAACATCAGTAAACAAGACTTTAGCTTCAATGCTTAGATTAATTAATGTGAGGGATTGCACCATTTTGAGATGCTGTGCAGTAAATAAAATTGTTAGATGAAGCTTATAATTTTCTGGGAGCAGTAAAGAAGATCGACTTTAAATATTGACTTTCGATTTTGTGTTTTAATTGATGTTTGGTAGCTACTGTCGGCCGCCATAGTTGACAGGTAGTGAGCGAAGCGAAAAATGCTAAGCATTGCCGTGAAAAAAATGAAATTGCTGTGAGCAAATTGAAATTGCGGTGAGCAAACTGAAATTGCTGTTGCAATTGCTGTGAGCAAATTGAAATTGCCTTTAGTAAATTGAAATTGCCGTGAACAAATTGAAATTGCTGTTGCAATTGCCGTGAACAAATGGAAATTGCCTTGAACAAATTTGCTGTGAGTAAATTGAAATTGCCGTGACACTTTTGGGCCACTGTAGATCTCTGCACACATCAAGGACAATTTCTTATGCCTGACTCACATTATCTGGATAAATTAATGTTCTGTAACACATGATAAATAATGAAAATGGGTGAGGACAAAACATGGACCAGGGGTCCATGGACCCCCATCCTGGACCGGGTCCATGGACCACTTTAATGGACCGGGTCCATGGACCCCCTGTCATGGACCGGGTCCATTGACAGTTTTTTTTAAAATAATGAGAAGTGAACAAAAACAGAAATAGAGCAAAAAGAAGATTAAAAACAACAACAATAACAAACAATACTCGATCGATCAGTATTATTCAATGCACCCACTTTTACCTCATGCCAAAATGCTACTTGTTCTTATGAATTGTTTCCTCTGACGAGTGGATTATGCTTTGGTGGAAAACGTTTTGACTGAGCAAATGTGAATTTTTTACTGCTTACAGTGAAACCTGTATTAAGCGGACACCCTTGGGGAATGCTGTAGTGTTCGCTTAATACAGGATGTCCGCCTAATACAGGTTTCAATAGATAACATCATATGAGATGTCAAATGCCATTCAAATGAACAGTGGAAACACTCAGAATACTCCCCGAGAGGCTATGATGATATAGGTTTGCATTAATTTCTTTATCAAAGTGGACCAATTGATCATAGTACCATATAAACACAGATTGCAACTCAAATTTGAAGAATTCAGGTGAGCGAAACAAGCTCTATACAAACAAAATGAAATAGAAAACAACACTGTATTGTGAAACTAATCAAGTCACGTTTTTTAATGTAAAAATCGAAAAATTTGTGGGTGGCAATTTGAGGCAATCTTTTGCATTTCCGGTGTCTATCATGTTGGGTGGTGGAATTTAATTATTATTGTCTGTTTAATACAGGTTGGCAACAACTTGAAATGACCATTTCAGGTACTTTTTAGGTGTCCGCGTCCGGTAAATAGAGGTGTCCGCTTAATAAAGGTTTCAGTGTATTTCATGCTGAGAGGTCAATGTTTGGTCACGCTTTGCCCAGCTTGTTAGCGTTTTTAGCAGGATGATTAATTCTCATGGATAGTAATTTACAGATCTAAATATTGAAGAAGTGGATTGAAGCTTAAACTGAATTTAGCTACATCAACTATGGACAATTGCGATGTGACTCAGTCACAATTGCTCTGAAAGCAATGAATTCTAAACTTCATCTTGTTCATAATGCAAGTCTTTGTACGGGAGCGCATTGGCTTAACAGTCTCCTTCTTCGTTCGACTGTACATGTGCAAGCAGAGTACGTAAGCACAACTAAATATTTGTGAACAGCATCTTGTCAAATCTTATTTTTGCTCTATTTCTGTTTTTGTTCAATTCTCATTAATTAAGAAAAAGTGTCCATGGACCCGGTCCATGAAAGGGGGTCCATGGACCCGGTCCATGAAAGTAGTCCATGGACCCGGTCCAAAGTGGGGGTCCATGTTTTGTCCATGTTTTGTCCTCGCCCAATGAAAATTCAATCCAAAAAGGTGTTAAATGATGTATCCTTTTTTGTGTTCTAAAGAAATCAAAGCACGAAAGATTGTTGTTGTCTTGTAAAGCAGTTTCGGATGTGCTCAAACGTCTTCAGAACATCTGCGGACATTTTCGGCAATGTTTTGAAGTCTTCAGAAAGTCTTCGGAAGTCACCGGGATGTTTCCGCAAATTCCGGTCATGTCAAGGTAAAAATCTCATGCATGTCATGTCAAGTTGGCAGGTATACGCAGTCTGTATACCAGGTGGAGCCCACCAGTCTGGATATCCGACAGTATTCAATCATTGGCAAACTTTAAGATGTTTTGAATATGTCTGAACATTGCTAAAATTGTTCCGGAGGCTTCTGAACAATAGATTTTTGGTTGCTGTGGACATCTTGAGCGTTGTCAAAGATGGACATATGTTACCATTAATAAACAGCAAATAATGGTGTACCCATTAGTGTGCCAATAAGCAAACAACCCTGTTCTTTTAGTCAGGTATTCATGAACATTGTTTTCAACCCCAAAGGGTGATGAAAGTGTCAGATACATCAGTAGGAGTAGTTGGCTACTAATTCCCCCTACAATTCAAGACGTTTTTAAAGAGATATATTAATTTTATCATTATGGAAAGTTAAGCAATACTTACAAGTTAGTTTCTAAACTGACGACATAAAAACAAAATTAATGCAATGAAACCATCAACTTAACAAAAATATAAATTATACATGACTGTAAACTTTGCTTTTTCACAATTATATTTTTGTACACACTGTTGGCTTTACCATTTATTTTCCATTTTTAATCTTTTAGATCCACTCATCTTGTTGCATCTGACAACCAGAAAAGATGGCTTGTGGTGGGAATAGCACTCAACAAGATACTTGTGCCACAGATCCGTCCTTTTGTGGAACAAGAGGTTGATAAGGAATACAACAATCTCAAGATAAGCCACAATATTCATACACAAAGTACATCTGGTCGTCTTCAAAGGTGGCCTGCAAGAAAGTTTTTAAAGTATGAGACCATCAATGGTAACAGTCGTCACCCAAAGCTTCCTGGTGGAAAATACAACTTTTCCTTGTTTGATTGTAGAGTGTTATCTCACATTGACTTTGCCAAGTTGTACGTTGAAAACTTCATGGCTAAGTTCAGTGCTTTTGATGACCAATGTGATGCTTCAGCTGTACTGACATTACTTGGTGGTGTACCTGTGTTCTCAACTGCTGTTCAAGCTGCTGCTGGTGATGTCAAGAATGTTAGGAATGACTGGGCACACTGTGTCTTCAGTAAGTGGGATCCTGTTAAGTTTCAGCAGAGTTTTGTTGAGATGGAACACCTGGTGAGAGTCATGGCTCTACCTGCAGCAGATAAAAAA